AAAAAAAAAAAAAAAAAAGTGGGTAATTGTATTCTTAAACCAGCCCTACCAGTGAGTTCCATTAGCCATCCTGCTGTGGACAGGAACAGGGAGGGCCCTCTGTGTGGGAAAGTTCTCCAGACTCCTGGCTTTTGATATAAAGAACACTGCTAAGCCTTTGATGTGGGAGCTATTGTGTGGATTTGAGTAGGGGGCGTGTGATAATTTTCTGCATGATAATCCTTCAGCAAGTCAAGGCCTCTTTGGGGAATAGAATGTAAGGGAATGCTCAGTCCACATCCCTACCTGGAGAAACCCAAGTAGGGCCAGTTGTGGAGAAACAGGGGAAGTGTTCTTGGCCATCCTGCTTTGTGGGAAAAGGACTGCTTTTCATATGGCCACAGGATGGATGCCTGCAGGCTGCACTGTGTAGTTCCTGCTACAAACTTCCCAATAACTTCCCACCTTCTCCTTCCTTTTTTCCTCTTTACCTCCCTTCTTCTGAGATGTACTGTCTCTTTAGTACCCACTCATTAAGTCAGAGTACAGTTCCTACTGGGAAATGCTCTCAGAGATCAGCTGACCCCACCATGGTCCCACCTGACAGACGTGGGTTGGCATCACTCAATGAGAGATGGTCTCAGAAGGTACCAGAAGACCAGGAGTTGAGTCCTAATGATCTCCTCTATCTACTAACGTTAGGATTTTACATCAGACATATTCTGCAATTTCTGTTGATGATTTCAAATGGCAACTAGGTCATGCCATTCCCCTGCTCAAAACTTCCCATCATACTTAAAATAAAGCTCAAAATCCTTGTCATGGCCTGTTTTAAAGGCCCTACACGTTCTGCCTCCAAGGGATCTTTTTATGGTCTCCATTACTTCTGATGAGAAATTGGTGGTCTTTCATATTTTTATCTCCCTAAATGTAATACATTTTCCTCTGGCTGCTTTCACATTTTTTCTCTGGCTGCTTTCAGGATTTTTCCCCCTAACTTTTTGTTTTCTGCAGTTTGGCAACGATGTATACTTAAGTGTTTTTCTTAATATTTATCCTGCTTGGGGTTCATAGAGCTCCCAGGGCCTGCAGGGTGATGTCATTCATTAATTCTTAGCCATTATCTTTTCAAGTATTTCTTCTGGCCATTCTCTCCTCCTTCTGCGATCCCAATTACACATAAACTGGGCTGTCTGAAATTGTCCTACAGGTTTCTTATGTTCTTCTTAAATTTCATTCTCCCCACCCCACCCCCTTTTTGTTTCAATTTGCATAGTTTCTATTGATAAGTCTATTGAATAGTTCACTGGTAGTTTCCTCTGCTGATAAGACCACTGAAAGAGTTGTTCATTTCTGATGTATTTTTCAGTTCTAGCATTTTTTCCTTTGGCTTTGAGAAAAAGTTTCCATCTTTCTGCTGAAATTCCCCATCTGCTCACATATACTGTCCACCTTTTTTAACAAATCTTTTAATACTTTATCTTAGCACTTCCAAGTTGCTTTTGAATAAATTCCAACATCTGGGTCATCTCTAGGTGGGTCATGCTACCTTGACTTTTTGAATGTCATGAAATTTAAAGTCTTGTAATTAATTACGAGAAAGCTTGGCACTAAATTTCTGACCCATTTCTAACAAGCATAAGGATTTTTGTGGCACTAAGTTTTTGTATTAATTTCATTACTGACTTCAGCCTTCATTTAAAAGATATTTATTTACTCAACTTACTTACTTATCCTTCCCTTTACTTCATTCCATGTTTCTTCTCCTTTTTAAATTTTATATTATCTTAACACACTAGTCAAAAAGACCTAGGTTTCAATCCAGGTGTTTTACTACTTACTAGCTATGTGATCTGGGATAAATTACTTAATTTCTTTATTTCTTTATTGTTTTAAATTTTTTTTAATGTTTATTTATTTTTGAGAGAGAGAGAAAGAGAGAGAGACAGAGTGTGAGTGGGGGAGGGGCAGAGAGAGAGGGAGACACACAATCTGAAGCAGGCTTCAGGCTCTGAGCTGTCAGCACAGAGCCCAGTGTGGGGCTTGAACCCACCAACCATGAGATCATGACCTGAGTCAAAGTTGGATGCTTAACTTGACTGAACCACCCAGATGCCCATAGTTAATTTTTTTTATAGTTATTTTTTTTAAACCTCAATCTTTTCATCTGTACAAGAATTAAGTGAGATTAAATGAGACTAGGCTCATATAGATATAGATAGATTCTAGATGTGTAGAAGGTTCTCTCTACATAAGAGCTACTATTATAATTACTCTTTTTTTTTTTCCCCTTATATGATCTTAAATAGTTTTTGGAATAAGATGGAAAAAGATTGATCAGGGTTTTAAAATGTAGAGCACCAGAGGTTCCATGGGGTGAAGTCAATCTCATGTAGGAATGATCAAGTACAACTCCGTGTATCTCACTCTCTGTGCTTTGTATCAGGCATTCCCATTTGGTGGACAAAAGGGATCTAGTACCTAAAAAGTTTGTACACAATGATCCAATATTTTCTGCCTTTATATTAGCTTTTAAATTACTCATCTTCAAGGGCATGTGCACTTAAGCAAGTGCTGTGGGTTGAATTATGTCCCTCAGAAAGATAATGCTGAATTCCAAACTCCCAGGAGCTGTAAACGTGACCATATTTGAGAATATGGTCTTTGCATAGGTAACCAAGTTAAGATGAGGTCGTACTGAATCAGAGTGGGCCCTAGTCCAGTATGACCAATGTCCTTCCAAGAATGGGAAAGTCAGGCGTGCACACACACACACACAGATTGAGGTGCTATAGCTGCAAGTTAAGGAGTGCCTGGGGCCACCAGAAGGTGGGAGAGGCAAGGAAGAACTCCCCCACTATAGGCTTTGTTTGGAGGGAACATGACCTTGCCAACATCTTAATTTTGGATGTCTAGCCTCTAGAACTGTGAGAGAATAAATTTCTGTTGTTAAAGCCACCAAGTTTGTGGTTCTTTCCTATGGTAGCCCTAAGAAGCTAATCCTCTGAGGGACTCAGGGACTCAAGAAAGAAAGAAAGAACCACCGATCTCCACAGGAATGACTCCCTGGTGGTAGAGCCACGGATGTGTGGCAGATATTCTGAGGTAGCCCAGTGGGGCCACACTCCACTCAACCTCTTCCCCTTTATTCACACTGCACCTTGGACCCATGCCCATCTGGGTCCACTTCTCGGTTTAGCTTTGCAAATTCCTACTCATCCTAAAAGACTTAACTCAGTGCTGCATTTTCCTGAAACTTCCCCCTACTTCTGCTTCTTGATCTTTTGCATATTATTTTTGGCACTGAACATAGTCTGCAAACACCTATTCCTCTCTCTCTTAATCCACAGGGTAAATCACTATACTGGGTACAGAGTACAGCAGTGAGAGAGAATTCCTGTCCTCATGTTGCTGACAGTCTAGTGCAAATCCAGACTGTTGGTAACAAACATAAGATGATTATATATGTATTAGTAATAGTGACTTAGTAATGTCAACTAAACACTTATTATGTGGTAGATGGTATGCTTAAGGGCTTTACATTATCTCACTGAATCCTTACCAATACCTATATAGTAGGTAATACAAGCCTACTTAGAGATGAAGAAACTAAGGCTCAGAGATTAAGTAACTGCCCTAGGGGATGCTACAAGTAGGTGGTAGAGCTGGAACCTCAATCAAGCGTTCCAGCCTGTCTTCAGTACAGCCATGTCTATATGCTTCTCCGTGACAGAGTGTAAGCAGTGTCTGGAAGGAGGAGTCCAGATAGCGGGGTGCACCCGAAGAGCGTCCAAGGCAGTCTAGGGGTTGGGAGAGGCTAATTTGACCCATTGCTACTGGGTGGTGAGCTTCTACAGGCAGGGAGCTAGCCTCAATTGTCTACAGGAGTGTCCCCTATAGGGACTCCATGGGTGCTCTGCATATGGTAGGTACTTAATTGGGGGCACCTGGGTGGTTCAGTCAGTTAAGCTTCTGACTCTTGGTTTCAGTTCAGGTCATGATCTCATGGTTGGTAAGATCCAACCTGGCATCGGGCTGAACAAGGAGCTTGCTTGGGATTCTCTCTCCCTCCCCCTTTCTCTCTGCTCCTCCCTGACTTGCATATACACATGTGCTCTTTCTCTCTCTCAAAATAAATAAATAAACTTAAACAAAAAGATGTGTAGGTTAAAAAAAACCAAATAAATAAATGTTATATAAAAACACTTCCCAGTATTTCCTTAATAGTTCCTATCATTCTTACTTTTTGTAGGGGAGCAGGTTTGTGTTTTCCAATCTCGGTGAGAAGTACACAATTAGGCACTAAAAGAAGTGTAATTCAAACCCTACTACTGTATCTGGGACCCAGCAGTCATGCCAAAAGGGTCTGTAGAATCCACACAGGAGTACCAGCTCTGCTCCTGTCTGCCAGAGCACTCATGAACCCTCCCCCGGCCACATCCTACACCATGGCCCTTTTCTCATCCCAGAGGGAAGCTGGCGAGGAAAACTTCTAATTACTCAACCAGAGGGCCTGTGAGGCCCACACATTTCAGTTCACAGTACAGATGGGGGAAAATGGAATAAAAGAGACAACCTTTTGACTTAAAATTGCTTTCACGGCATCCTCCACTTCCTCCTGATTGCTGAGGTCAACCGTCCAAACATGGGGCCGGCCAATGAACACTTCAGCATACGGATGCTGGGATGTCAGCTGGAAAAGAAAGAGCACCTCAGTCTCACAGATACTTTTTGTTTCTTCCACCTTCTGTGCTAGATGAAGTGTTATGCTTTTTATGGCATTGTGCTTGCATAGGTAACAAGACATTTTTGTCCTTCCGTGATGATCAAAACCTCCTGAGGACCTATAAGTGGAGACCAACAAAACTGTCAGAGCTCCACAGCTTGAATTCCACTTGGAAAAAGGTCAAAACCAGGGAACACGGCAGTTGGTACAGGTGGCTTCAACCCCCAAAGTCACACCAAGATATAATGAACATTTCACTCTTGGTCACAACCCAGCCCTGAAAATCACCTAGATCAAACTAGTATCTGTTATAAAACACCAATTGGGACAGGTAAGCATAAATAAATTACAATACAGTCAAAAGCTTTAAAGTCTTAGGAGGGTGAGTAATTGTATATATGAAATGTGACAGAAATAAATAAGGCTACAGAAAAACAGAATTTTGACATGCTTTCAGGAGTGATCATTAGCATAACACTGGACCCTCAATACTTCTAAAGATAATATGGATTCAGCAAATTTCTAAATTCAGAGGTTTTATTTTAAGAACAAAGGTGGCCAAAGAAACCCAGTATGAAAGCTGGTGATTCTCAGTTCTTGAAGAGTCCATTCTTTGACAGCTAAATTTACCCCTCCAACTGCCTTCCACCTTTTTCTTGTATCCTTTCAGGCAGTGGTGAAGGGAGCTTTCTGGACATTTGTGAGAGCATTCTCAGCTTGCACAAATACTGGGGGTGCTACCCTTGATCTGTGAATCCGTGGGTGAGGACCAGGGAGTGTAGATGATGCCTCACTATGGGTTACAGTTCTGCCCAAGGCAGGCCATCCACTTCCCGTACAGCTTCCATGTGCCCCGCTGGCTTTCATGTGGGTTCACAGAATCTAACTCTTTGGCACAGTTTTAATATAGATTGAATTTCCCAGGAACATAATTACCATGTAAATCAAGGGATGTTTGTACTCTGTTTTCATTGGAACTTCACCAATAAGCTGTTACCAACTTTGGAAAAACTAGGGCAGTAAAGTCAATGTCACTCAGATTACCTGTTTCTCCATTACAACATACCCAAAACCAGTCTGTGTTTGTAGCTCTCACATAAACGGCAATTACATATATACTTACGTATGTATAGACACTTTTTAACTTGGCTTCTCCTTTAGAATATCACTTATAAGCAAAAAGGGCTAATCATGTTCAGCTGTATATTTTACTCTTCTCAGACACAAACTTACTCATTCTAAGGAGGGATGAGACATGTTTTCTACTATAGTTCTTGGGAATGGTATACTTCTTAACTACTTACAGACTGAAATATGTATTTCCTTATTGTGAATGATTTTCCTTTATAGTAGAGTTAAGGGAATCATTCTTTTTTGAAATTACATAAGTAGGCAGGGCATATTATTTATTAATTTTGTTTCAGGACACAAGAGTGGATGTTATAATATATTTGTAGTAGAAACAGGTGCTGGGTCTGGTAGGGTTGAGGCTCTTGGTTTAGAGGCTAAGCTGGTTCTCTTTCTTTCTTCCGTCTCTGGTATCCTCAGAGGATGGGGTGATTTAACTGGCCTCTCTCCATCTCACTCCTAGCCGCCATTCTTCGTATCCCACCTCACCACTTGTGTGCCCACACTACTTAGGGCAGGGAACTCAGAATATAGGTCACCAGGCCTCAGCCCCCAGCCGTCAGCGGCATCCTCTCAAGAAAAGCATGATTCTAAAGAGAAGATATCCTAGACTCTGCTCCTGCCTCCTCTGTCAGAATCATGCCCCTTGCTGGCCTGTTACATTCCCCTTTCTTCTGACCTGTACCCTCTTCTTTTGCTCAGCCACATGGTCAGTGATAGAACCTACAAGATGACCGTGGCCTCATAGGCCTGGAAGCATCCATTTTTCTTTCTTTCCCTCAGCTCACATTTTAGATTCAACACCTATCAATGAAGCCCCTGGCTGGCCCAGGCACTGTGCTAATCACCTGCATCTGCATAATTTACCAGGTTTCCGGGGTATCAATGAGGATTTTGAGATTTACAGCGGTTTACAATTCTGCAAGACCACAGTGCCAGGAAGCAGCAGAGCAAATTCAAATCTAGATCCTTCAACAACATATTAGCTTTTGACAGAAAGGAAGACGACAAATTTAAAGTATTTATTGGGTTCTTAAGCAAAGACCAAATGAAGCTCAAAGTAAGCTCCAGGCTTTTAATCCGCTCTTAAAACTTGCCAACCTGAAAAAAACACCTCAGGACTGAATTTATGCCTGAATTAGACCTTTCCTGAAGATGAGCAAAACGTCACAACATTTCACTTGGTGGCCTGGAGAACAAACTGATGACTTCTTCCAATGGAATCAGGGTAAATTAAAGTTGCTTTCAATGTCCCTATGCAGCCATTTACATATTGGCAGTCTCTCGCCCCCTCCCCTTGATAAGGTCCCTGTTTTTTTTTTTTTTTTTTTTTTTTTTTTTTTTTTGCAAGGTTGCTCCAAGCACTTGGAAAATACAAAATGCCGAGGCTTTATTATTTTATTCATTTACATTTATTGAGAGTTACTTAATTTTATGAGTAAGGCGTTTTGTGATTCATTATTCCCCTCTGAATGTTATGCTCCTCCCCATTAATTTATTGAGAACCGTCTGATCTGAGCTACATCAATCAGTAAATTTACTGGAGTATAGTTTGTAAAAGTAATGAAAATCTTATTAAATATGAGACATTACTTCAGAGCGGCTATTAAATTTCTAAGGAGAACATGAGTTCTCTTTATGGAAAAAAATCCTGAAGCCAGAGAATTTCTAATGGTTTACAAAATGTCCAAATAATGATTAAGAACCTACTAATGTGTTTCCCAGTATAAAGATAAAAATCCAATTTATATCACATTGAAAGTATGGCTTGAACCAACAATATTACTTAAGGCGTTATGGAACTTTTTCCCTCGAGTGTACATCGTGGTTTTAAAAATTGATCCAATGTAAAAGACAAAAATAAAATGAAACTCTCATTTACAAACTTAGACTTTTTTTTCTCTTCAAAGCAAAGGAGGGACATATATGCAATTTATATGGATTGATTTATACGGATCAATTTTTGCTTAACTGGAAAGACTAGCAAGGGAGCCAAAAAATTGCTTTGTAATTATGTCTACTTGGGTTAAAATTTTTCCATTTGCAGAGTAAAAAAAAAAAATAATTTCTAGAGATTTTTGACCCTTCAACATCTATAGAACTCTCGATAGCTCTCTCCCTGTGAAAAGTAGCTTTGGCCAGGGGGTTTTTGTGGCTTTTGTGGGCTGAAAGAGCAGAGTGAGTGGCCCACCAGGCCTTGAGGTCAACTTCACTGAGTCCTCCCAAAACTGTGTGATGTTGCTGGCTCCCAGCCTGCTCTCTGCACTGTCTCTAGCAGAGAAGGAGACAGACATCGGATGGAACCTGCCCTCCTGCATAAAGGAAAGTGACCTTCTTGGGATTTCCCTGCAGCTCATCAACATTCATGCCTCTTAAGCGTGAAACCCCTTTCCTCCTTTGCCTTTATAGCACAGTTCCTGCATCACCTCCTTTTCAGTTAACCCAGCACACTCTCCACTTGGCAGAACTCCCAGGCAACACCCTCTCAGTGACTGACTTAGCTGTTTCTTTCCATATCAAAATTTGAGCTCCTGGAAAACAGGAAATGGGTCTTGATAAATTTCCCCAATGCAGCAACTAGTACCATGGACCCTGTGGGGACACAACGAGCATCTGTCAACTGACCTTCTGTATCCCGGCCCTCCTGCGGAAGCCCAGGACTGATGGAGTCATCTGTGTGAAGTCACTTGCTGAGCAATGGCTGAGGATCCCAGAGAGCCATTCTAACTCGAGTCTCATTTACGTACTGGTGGAATTATCTAAAGGGATGGGTGGGACCAAGCGCCTGGTGGGGGCAGTTCTTACGCCTATTCTCTTTAAGCCATGAAAAATCAAAGCCCTTCATGATCTCAATGAAAAGCAAATTACTAAATGATGACAACTGATCGGAAATGATGAACATTCGTTCTTCAATAATTTCATACTGGCTGCTCTGATCTATGTGACATTACATCATTCACTGGGAAACAGATTGTGCTTGAGTGTCCTAAATTTTTTTCAGGAAAAAATACTCATTTGTAGCAAAGCGTCATCAAAATCTTTAGAATCACCAGTAACAAAAAGGTGCCAGTTGTCAATATAGTCGTAAAGATGCTTTTGATTTATCACTGTCCAAAGGCTCATATATAGAAATAGCAGTAAAAAGAATCACAATGAGGGAAAAAGAAAATCACTACAGAACCACCAGAATAACTGTTGTAGGCAAGACCAACCAACATATCGTAAAAATAAATGGGCAAAAGGTTGAAGAAAACCAGAATATTTGCATACTTTCAAAATATTTTTTCCATTATAGAGAGAACCAGTAACTTCATAGTAAAGACACCTAGCAGACCCTACCTTAACCAAGAGATCAAGGTTAACACCATCAGGAATGAGACATATTGGTATCACACACCTCCTGATATGATACACTGAGAAGACCACAACACTTCTGTGATATTCTTGCCAAAAATGCGTCATCTCAAACTAACCATGAGACAACATCAGTCAAATCCAAAGTGAGCAACAGTATACAAAAAGCCCAACGAGTACTCTTTCAAAGTGTTAAAACTGAATGACAATTAAGTTACGGAACAATTGTCCAGATTGGAAGAGATTAGGAGCCGTGGCAATTAAATGCAACGTAGGTCCTGGATTGGATCCCAGAAGAGCAAAGGGATATTAGTGGAAAAAATGGTGAAGTCCAAATCGAGTTTGTAGTTAAGGTAACACTGGTTAATGTCTTAGCTTTGATTACCATAGTTTTGTAATGTGCTGCCATTAGGGGAAGCTGGATGAAGGATATACCCAAACTCTGTACTATTTTTGAAACTTTTCCATAAGACTAAAATTATTTCAAAACAAAAAGTAAATTCCAACAATTCCACTTGTAGGTATATGCCCCAAAGAATTAAAAGAACCTCGGCAGATACCTGTACACAAATGTTCGCAGCAGCATTATTCACAACAGACAAAAAGTGTAAACAACCCAAGTGTTCATTAACAGATGAACAGACAAGTAATTAAATGTGGTATATCTACACAATGGAATATCATCTGGCCGCTAAAAGGAATGGTATTCTGACACATGCTATGAACCCTAAAAACCTTAAGCTAAGTGAAACAAGCCAGTCACAAGAGAACAAATACTATATGATTTCACTTGGTAAGTTTAGAGAGACAGAAAATAGAAGAGAAGTTACCAGGGGCTGTGGGGAGGGGAGAATGGGGAGTTGTGCTTAATGAACACAGTTTCTGTTTAGAATGATGAGTAAGTTCTGCAGGTTGGTGGTGGCAATGGCTGCACAAGACTTTGAACATACTTAACACGAGTGAACTGTGCACTTAAAATGGTTAAAATGCTAAGTTTTAAATTATGTATGTTTAATCCCCAAAAAAGGGGAAAAAAGAAACAAAATTACAAATAATTATTACAAGGTGGGCAGAAGAACTTCAGAGATTTCTTACACTTAAATTAAAATGTGGGCATGATTTATCAGCCCAAATTTTCTTTTTTTTTTTTTTAATTTTTTTCACATCTGAGCTGTCAGCACAGACTCCAAGGCAGGGCTTGAAACCATGAATCGTGAGATCATGACCTGAGCTGAAGTTATCAGCCTAAGTTTTCTATCCCAAACTCCATCTCATGGTTCGTGGGTTCAAGCCCTGCACCTCTGTACTGACAGCTCAGAGCCTGAATCCTGCTTTTGATTCTTTGTCTCCTTCTCTCTCTACCCCTCTCCCAACCACGCTCTGTTTCCTTCTCTCAAAAATAAGTAAACATATTAAAAAATTTAAAAATCTTAAAAAAAATAATAGTGCTGCTATATTGCATCTATGTCATGGGTTTCCACCTGTGTCGTCCCCCAGTAGAAAGCCCCAAATGACAGGGGCAATCCAAGGACTCTAGCTCATAGAGGTTTCCTCCTCGTGAGCAGCCCACAGAGCCACAGAAATAATAAGAAAATCAATCTTACGGTTTCTTGCACACACCTGTTTCTGACTAGATACAGAAACACCCAGCTTGATAACTCACATGCTCTAAATGACTTGTTTATTGCCCCAAATCGCATCCAACTGCCTTCAGTGGTGATTCATCACCCACTATGGATTTTCAAGAGGATCTCTGAAAGCAATTCAAATAAGGCTTCTGCAAACAGTTCAAGCATCAGAACGGTGCCTCCTGATGGTGGCCTAAAATACCAGGCACATGACTTCAGTCTCTCAAGGTTGACAGTTAAGGACTCCACTACACACCCTTTATTCCCCACAGCCTATCGTGGGAGCTGGTTCTGCAAAAATACACATTAGCCAGTTGATGTCTTTATTCAAAAAATTCTAAACATTCAGAAAGTCAGAGCTCAGTTACTTAGAAGGTTGGAGATGTCTGCGTGCCTTAGGAGAGGGCTGAGGCAGAGTGGAAAGACGCCACAGTTCACAGAGGGACAGAATTGGATGCAAGTCCTGGCTGTGCCACCACCAAGTTAGGAGACAGCATCGGCCATTCCTCCCTGAGCCCCTGCCCATCCTCCGCCTCCTCCTTCCATCCAACTATGTCCAGTGAGGTTGATGATACCAACAGCCCAACGTTAGGGGATCTGAATGGGCTCCTAGCACTCAGTAAGTAGCTGGTATTCATATTGTTGAAAGTAGAATGATTGTTTTGATAGATGCTTACCTCTCTCAGTGTTGGCTTGCCAATGAAAAAGTCTGTGTTTTTGCTGCTTTTGGGTGGGCTGAACTTGGGATTCAGAAAAGCACATCCATTTGCGATGGCCTCCAGGGGAGCTGGGCCCTCATAAGGGAACCCGAGTCCAACAAACAACTGTAACACAGAAAAGCACACCACATATAAACACATCAGTCAGGACTGGCGTCCCTGGCTCACAGGGGGCTCTTCTGTGCTTCATTCCCATGTGGAAGGCCCAGAGACTCTGGAAGGTTCCCAGACCTTGGGCGGGGATGGGGGGTAGTGGTGGTGAAGAGAAGGCAGCTCACATCAGGAACTGCAAAACAGTACCAGAGTCCTTTACAGGATCATGAAGCTGCTCAGCTCATTATGTTCTCCTCCTTTGTAAAAACAAAAACAAAAACAAAAACAAAAGTGAAGAAATACGCGTGGAGGGGGCTGCGGGGGAGGTGGGCGGTCGAGGAGGTACGGAGGTGGGGGTATTAAAAGAATAAAAAACAACAACAAAAACCAAGACCCAACAATAATCTTTCTGTAACTCACCAGGAGACATGACTGGAAAAACACTTGCTTAACTAAACAGAAGGTTTCTTCATTGAAGCAAAGGAACAACAGGCCCTTTCAGTGATGCTGGGTGGAGGGACAGAAAGGTCACTTGGTGGTTTGATTACAGTTCAAACGGAGCTGCTTTAAAATGATGGTAGGTCAGTAAACACAGGTTTTCATAATGGGGTTTTCACTGGGGGACACCAACAACTTTGTTTTTATCTCCCCCCTCAGTCGAGGGGAGAGGGTGCTGAGTGGCTAAATGGGCAGCCAGCAGTCTGCTTTCCCAATGGCAGACAATAGATGGCGGCAAAAACACACTCTTCAAGTCCTCGCGCAAACTAGCTCAGAGCTGCTGGGACAAAGGGGCCTTGCTGCAGCTCCCTGGCAATGGTTCCTGTCCAAAAATGAAACAGCATCTCAGGGAAATGCCTCACTGCCTCTCCCCCTCTCGGGACCTTTTACACTGATGGAGGGCTGTAAGTTATCGACGGCAGGGTCCAAGTCTGGGCTTGGTGAGATTTGAGATCTCCCTACCACACCAAGGAGCCAATGCTGAGATCACTCCAGCCTCCAAGGAAGGGCATATCAATCGCCAAAGGATAACTGGGCCCCAGGGTATCGTTCCTTCTGCCATCACTGAGGAACACCCACACAGCCAGGCCCCCCCGAGAGGGAAGGATATTGGTGAACTGGATATATCGCATGCCTGATTCTCCTTTCCTGGGGCCCTCACCCCAACAATTCTATCTTTTGCAGCTGCTAAAATCAACTGTTACTTAGAATGGTTCTGTCTGGGGAGACTGGAGTCCAAGCTGCCAGGTTCCCTGGGCACCACTGAGAGATGCAGAAAGTATGTGCTGGGCACTCAATTCCAGGACTGAACACTGAGCTGGCACCTGCTGGGCATACAGGAGAATCACGGAGCCCCCACAGGAGTTTTTCTGGGACAAGAAACAAAATCCCAGGTTTTGTGGCTAGACTCCCTATCCTATGACTGTATGGTTTTTTGCACGAAACAGGGTAGTTAACTTTTTTTTTTTTTTTTTTTTTTTTTTTGCTTGTTTTATCCTTTTGTTTCTTGTAAACCTTGACATGACCAAATATACCATCAGGGACATCCACTGGGTAAACTGGGGAGAGAGGCTCTGAGTGGCCAGCAGAGCTCCCACTATTGGCTGGGGGCATTTCCCCTTGGGCAGATCCACTGGAGACATGGGGGTGAGGAACACTTTGTTAGCAGGAGCCTGGAAGATAGAGGATTTAAGGGGCATTTCCACCACCATCTGGAGGCCCTTTTTCTGGATGTTCTTTATTCTTACTAAGTAGCTGAAAGGAGTGAGATTATCAAAGAGAACTTAAGCATACAGGGTGTGGCCTGAGCATGTGGCTCAGGGGTGGGAATGGGGGGCGGACGCCTGACAGCAGCAGGAGAAATGGAAGGCAAGAGTGGGAAGGACTAGTCCCAAGAGATCACAGCTTTGTTAAATATGAAGAATCCAGGGTTACCATCCTTCAGGCTTTTGAGCTCTGTGATCTGCTCCCTATCAGAATTTGGGAAAGATCTCCCCAGGGGAAAGATGACCTCTCTCAGGTGGTGGTTGGGTACAGGAAAACACAGGGTTTCCAGATCCTTTTGACTTTGAGAAGAAAGGTGCTGGAACATGCAGACAGGGGTCTCTGTGGGTTTAGCCAGAGACCTGAGCCTACAGTGAGTCCTGACCTCTGAAAATCAGGGCCTGCCATAAAGTGCTGATACCTTCATCAACTCTAACTTGCAAAGAACTTTGGAGGAAATGCAGGAAGCACAATGATTGTCTATTTAAATAGAAAATCCTGGGAAAAAAATGTAATTAGCTCCTTCAGACCAACCAATCTGAACCCATTAATTAAAAGGATTTGAAGCTGTTGTTTAATGGACTTGAATGTGACCTAGGCTTAATGATATCTGAATAACAATTTGCACCATCTTTGCTGCCCTGCTGGCATCAAAATATCTCAGGACACATAAAGTAAACATTTTGGGCTAACTCTCCAAAGCCTCACAATTTTAGAATGAAGCTTAAGCAAATACCATACAATTTCTTGGCAACGAGTTTTCTCGTCACACTAATTAGGATTGCAGGAAATGCAAGACTTGGAAACACCAAAATAACAGTTCTTTGTCACTTCTGTCAATAAGCAATTTTTTCTTGCTTCCCGTGTACTCATTACCTGTGACGTTATAATGGAGCAGATGTATTAAGGTCAAATAACACACTTGAGGTTTGAATCACAAAAGCATAGGCAGAGAGAGTTCATCACCACCAAAGAACATCCCGTAAACTTCTGAATGCCATGGCCTTGCCACACTGGTGCCTTTACCACAGTAAATTTCCTTTCCCCTAGTCCCCAGCTTCCATTGTGCTCCCTACAGATATCTTTAGCATGGGGGCAACAGACACACCATTAAGAATGCATTCAAGCACAGAGGCTTAACTTTTCAGGAGGAAACTGGGCATATTTTATTTATACTTCATCTGGCCTGCAGAAGCCCAGAATCTAATGAGGATATTCCAGATGACAGAACATCTTCACGGCTGCAACTCTGTCTCATCCGTAAGCATTTTTTTTTTTTTTTTTTTACATTTTTTAATGTTTACTTTTTTACATTTGAGATAGAGACAGAGAGACAGAGAGATCAAGCAGGGGAGGGGCAGAGAGAGAGAAGGAGACAGAATCTGAAGCAGGCTCCAGGCTCTGAGCTGTCAGCACAGAGCCCGACACGGGGCTCAACTTACGAGCCGTGAGATCATGACCTGAGCCGAAGTCGGACACTCAATCGACTGAGCCGCCCAGGTGCCCTCAATAAGCAGTTCTAAATCCAGGGATTAAATGCTCTGAAATTAAGTTTTTGAAGTACTATTAAAAGAGAATGGATGGAGCACCACAGATTTTATTCACAGCATAGGATTGGGACATTCCTACATGTTGACAAATGGTTCAGTAAAACCACTCAGTCTTATTACTCTGTGTGAAAGGAGAAACAATTGTTTTAAACCCTTAACTGGAGTAGTTAACATGGACTCCTTTCAACATGGATAAAGGTGGCTCATAGGAAGACTCTACATGGGTTTAGCCAGTTTCCAGTCACTCTTGATGGGGAACAGCAGGATAATCCAAAACAGAAGACACACTCTCAACATAAGCTTTTCTGACTAGTTTGAACTAGCTAAATTGGCGGAGTGGCTCGGGAGGGAGTTTGAGCAACGAATCAATCTCAGCTTATCCAATAAACTGAATATTGGCCCAGTGATCGGGACAATGCGGTAACTAACTGTACGGGGTCTAACTGCAGACCAAAGTTCAAATCCTGACCAGCTCACTTCCTAGTTCTGTAACTGAGGGAAAGCATTACCTGCCACTTCCTATGGATTATCGGAGGTCCATTTATAACATTCTCTCCAGCTATGGGACCGGAGTCAAGGTCACGCAAGCTCTCTACACTGTTTATTCATATGTAAAATGGTGAAAATAATAGTTACTTCACGGGGCAGGTGTGAGGCTTAAATGAGGTATTGCATGCACATGATGTATTTCAAGGTTTGGAACTGAAGTAAACGTTCACTGAACAGTAGTCCAAATTCAAAACCAGATTCAACTTCATGCAGCTGCATGTACGTGACCTTGTATTGTTTAGCTGGGGTTTAGGTGTGCCCGAGTTGTGGTTGTGGGTTTTACACAATGTTCAGCACCCGCATGTGTATTTACGAATTCTCACTGTTTCATAAAGTAGCTGGACTTTTTAGAAAAAAAGGGAGAGACGGCCATTAGAAGAGGAAGCAGACATGGTTTACAGTGACTGCCTCATGGAAAGGCCAGTCCCATGAGCATGTATGACTGCTAAGCCTTGTTTATTCTTCATATAATGATTGGAAATCCCCGGATTTTTGGTAATAGGTATACATTTTATATCTTTAAAAAGAATCCATACAATGGCTGATTGTGGAGGAAATGTATTCTCCTGAGAGGTTATGCCTTCAAGTGGCCTGAAGGGTCCTTTTCTGGACATGTGTCTTCCCTTTTGTACTTGATGATGAAGAAACAAACAGTGGCCAAAATCTCTTCCATACAGGTTTGGTTACACCTTTTCATGGGCTGCCCAAGCCCCTAACCTAAACTACAAAAAGATTCTCTTGTGAAGAGGTAGAAAGGCAAAGGAGACAAGACAACGATACGTGTCAAGTATGTTTAAGTGCCCAAAGTTTGTCAGAGTCAGCTGCTATGTCAGAGGCTATTTCCTGGAGACCAGCTCACTGGGTAGACACCCAGATTATCCTTGTTTTCTAAGTAGCCTTTCAGAAATGAAACAGAACACAACCAAACACAAACCACAATATCAAAACCAAAAGTTCATACACTTCAGTCATTTGGAAACCCCAGTTCATAATCCAATGTGCTACAATTCACTATACATGCACTGACTTGGAGATGGAGATGGTGGTGGGGGGGGTAAGCAAATATTTGGGTAAATTGATAACTGTGGATGTTGTCCATCTTCCGCCATGACAGCATGAAATGTTTACCATTAGAAGGTGCGAGGCAGCACAACAGGCCTATTCACGTCACATTAAGGATGGGCTCTCATAGTACTGAGCACAGAGGACTTTCACGATAAGAGATAATTCATGGAGAAGGCACAGGTGAGGGTGAGAGAAAATGGCTGTCACTGCCATAATAAATCCCCACGGTCATGTGCACCATGATGACACAGATGTGCTGTGTTAAAATGTGGCTGATAATCAGTTCCTGTCCTCCAGGAGCAGGCTCATCCTCTTAGGTGAGTGGCTTCACAAGTCACGGTGCAACATTTTACACAACTAAATGGTTGAGCCTGCTTATAATATCCCAGAAGTTCTACGTCGGTATTACTATTTTTTATTATTACTACCTCTACCTGTGCACTTTTTGCATTGCTATAGTCCCCAGTTTCTGTGCTGGTCTCCTCTACCATGCCTGTACGCTCGTCTTGGGCAAAACTCCTTAGTCATCCCTGTAGCAAGAATGCCTGGAATGAGGCCTGGAATGTATTCAGTAGGGAAAATGAGCAAAAGAATAAATACTAATAGATGAGATCTTTCCAGCAGTCATGTGTCTTCATGAGGATGAAGAGATGTTGAATGTTTTCGTGTGTATTTGAGTGTGCGGATGCACTTTTGTCCTTGAAGTCAGAGCAAGTACTGAATCATCTCGCTACAACTGTGCAATTGTACATACATACGTGGGAGGGAAAGAGGGAGAGAGGATTACATGTGTATACAAAATGTTTTCCCCATCTGGCTGGAATAGGAATAACCTTAGATACTGGCCATAAGATGAAGCCTCCTTGACTGCCTGAGGGTGAATATTTCAGCATCTGAGACGGGTGGACTGCTCTGTCGGTAAGTAAGCCCTTGGGCTCTCCCTCACAGGCGACACCTGTGTGATGTGTAGGCAATACCACGGAGAGGCAGGTGTGCAGTGTCAGAAGGACAGCGTCGCTTGCTGTGGAAGTCTTGGAGATTTAGGTGCGTGATTCATGAGCAAAGCAAGAACTCAGTTTTTCGGGCATGGTCCCAAGATCCCAGATGGCTAATGGATTTCATCTTGACTCTTTCCTTCATTCTTTATATAATTATCTGAAAGCCTTCTACAAGCTAGGCACTGTTCTAGACATTGAAGATGTACTTGTAAACAGAACAAGCAAAGCCCCTCGGCCATCATGGAACTGCATGAGAGTCTGGTTCCAGGGGTGGTAGCCCTGGATTCTTGAGAGACTGGGCAACTATATCCAAGCTCATGGGAAAAGTCATGGTTGATGGGGGCGGGGGAGGTGGGTGCCAGAGCTGGGGATGGGATGGAAAAGGGACAGCATATACTGCATATCCTCCAATCCTGCCCAGGCTTCTAAGTGAGTTCCACAGCTAAGCTGATGAGCTGATAGATTAGGGAAACAGGTCATGACCCACCCAAGTGCTGGAGGGTGAATGGCCAGAGGTCTGGGTACCAAGGGTAACACCACAGACAGCAGTGGCTTTCCCTGCTTGTTTGCCACAGCCAGAATTTGCTCTCGGCTTTTACTGTAGAAAAATACGTTCTCTTGCGGCTCACTCCAAATGTGCCTCCAATCTAATACAGGATAGGAATGCTCCATACTATCAGGAGCTTCCCATGCTAAGACTGGGGAGGAGGTGGACATGAAGAGGCTAAAATTAGGAAGAAGAAAGAAATCACATCAAAAGCGATGAGGACTTAACCCCAAAATAAAAACATGCCACCCTGTGCTGGCTTCAACTGCACTCCCGGAGTCTGCTGGACTGAAAGCCTTGTCTATAGTCTGCCGATAAATAATTAATGCATCCAAATGTATATGCCTGTTAGAAGAGTCTTTTAGATTCAACAACTTCCTGGCTCTTTTAGCCCCTTTTTAGTGTCACACCAAATTCCTCCATCTTCATAGGCTCCTGGCAGCCGGACTCTGCTAATGACACATGGGCCCCTGTGGCATGCCAGGGCGAAATACTGCTGAGCAAAGGGTTTCCTGGGCCTGGGTGCAGGGCTTCAAAGACGTCTCATAAAGAAAAATAATAAGTGAGGAGCTGATTAAACATCAGTCAGTTCAGCCCGTCTCCAAACCTGAAGCAGCACCAGACTCGCTTTCCTCTCCAGTGAGCCCGAGGAGCGTGTGAATCCCATTTGTTCTACCGACATTTACTTCTCTGTGTCTCCAGTTCTCCACTTTCAACATGGATTGGAATAAATCGCTTTTAAATTGCTCAGAGACACAGAGGAAGGAGTTAGAGGCAGAAAGGGTTATAAATGCAAAGCCTGACTGGTCTTTAGTGTCATTATTTCAAAGCCCAAGATCCATTCATTTTAGTGCCTGCTGCTGTGTTCTGGGTATAAGGGGAGTCTCGGCGACACAGCGCCTCATTTCCATCATATTTGCCAACTGTTTTAGCCATAATTCCACTCGGAGGGCTTTAATATATTCTAGTCAGACGAACAGGCAATACAAAATGGGATCAGTGACATCCTGTGAAGGCACCCGTTTTTCAAGGATAAATATATGCCCCTCACACTCAAAATTCGGTCTGCAGTCCTTGGCTGTTAGGCAGTCTCTGACATCACGGCCCGGATATTCCAAGCCTCTTCTCTTTTCCTCCCTGGGATATCAGCGGCCTCTGCTTCGGCCTATTCCCCATTCTCTGACAAGGTAAATGGATGGTAGGTAAGTCAGGGTTCTTTTAAAACTTCCAAGGCTGAGTAAGACATTCATGAGGCTGGGTTAATAGGAGTGCGCGAGACAGTAATGACACGCTGTTGAGAGCCAGCGTTGCCAAATGTAATTTTAAAGAGGCTCGAGCTTTTTCCACCAGCTGATGTGGGAAGAAGTAAAATGAGGCAAATGGCAAAAATAGCATTGCCACTAAAGGGCCCGGACATCCTCACGATTCTAAAATGTCATCCTGAGACAGAAAAAGAACAGAAAGCCAAGAGTGCAAAGTGGGGAACACACTTCACTCCGGGGTTGCCACACACGAGCATCAGACTACAGATGACCTTGTAAGGAAATGAAATCTTAATAAATACAAACCAGATCTTTGGCCAAGGAGATAAATAATTCATCCATCTATTTTATTCATGGCACCACACGAATGACTTAGAGATAGAAAGGATCAAATGCAGTTACATATGGAGAAACTGAGGCAGGAGAGAGATGCTTATTCTGTTGGGAAGGGAGTGTCCAATAAATGTTCTCCAGTTTGGGTGTTTATTCAGGAGGATGGTGCCTTGAGGGCTTAACAGACCTTTAATTTGCAATAAAAAAAAAAAAAAATCATGTGTAAGGGTCACCCCGTCCAGGCAAAGTCAGTGACTGTGAGCAAGCCAAATGCTCTAGCCTACTTTCTGCTGTTTAAAATGAAGTTAACAGTACCTTCCCCATCTACGGCTTTGTTTGTGAGAATCAAACAAGGCAGCATATGTGAATATGCTCTCCCAAATCCAAGTATCATAAAATGATAAAAAGTCGCTATTAAGCCACAGAGCCTCTCACCCACTCAGCCTCCCTGCTACCTTAAAAATGAAAACACAGCCAGTCAAGGCCCAGAACTGAGAAAATCACTGTTGGTAATAAGCTGTCCCTATGCTTCAAGGCAGGGCTCACACTGGCTTTCTTACTCTTACATCCCTTGTACTAGGTCTGGCCCTTTAAGGCCAAACTCTGGTTTATTTGCAAGTCCCTAACATCATTTGGTACTTTCATGGCAGAATTACAGGCACCGGTTCAAAACAACGCATTCAGCATGTCACTTAAATAGACCTCGCTCAGTGGCTCCCCCGGCTGCCTGCATCATGGGGTCTGAAGCTGCCTACACACTAGGGTCTATGCTTGGGACAACCAGCCCCTCAGCTCCTTACCAAAAGTTACCTTCCACTATTTCCCAGCAATAGAGCAGCTGGGTTGCATTGTGGCTCTCTCCTGAATGTGTCATCTCTGTCTCCACCACTTGACTCTCCTTCTTGTGTGTCCTGGGTATCACCTGCCCCCCACCCGCCAATTGTTCATCTCCCACATCTTTCACAGTGTCTTCCCTGCTCCCAGAGCCTGAAGGGACTCTTCCCCCATCTGAACTTCTTCAGGGTCCAGTACAAATCTGTGAATGAAGAGGTGCAAGAAAAGCCACTTGGTGGCCCGATTCCTTGAGCGATGTTGATTAAAGAGGTAGGGGAGCTGAGCACCCCAGGCTTGCTGTGAAAGCTGCTTCTTTATCGCAAGGTCTGACCCTCAAGACAGGACCTTACCTTTTCTGTTTGCCACTGTATCCCCAGCCCCTCGCTTGATGCCTGGCACGGAGTAGGTCCTGGGTAAGCAGGCTTTCAACTGTAGCAACCTCTTTCCACAATTCACGAACTTTTAAGCTATAGCTGATCTAGAAAACCACTGCCCAGAAATGACTTCGTAAGTTACTACAGCATTGAAAAGACAGCACGAGAGATTCTGATCCTGTTTTCAACACCAACAGAAACAACCAGTAAACATCACTGATGGATGTTTTAAAAATTCCTATAAACCTACCTTGGTTTCTCGGAGAAGAAACTGTAGGTCCCGCCCACTTAGGATGCCATGGTTTTTCACATAACTGGGAATATTCTTCGTGCTGGAGCCATAAACGGTCGCATGCACTTCCATGTACGTGTGAATAATGTCCAAGTAGATTTTCTTATTCTAAAGAGGGGACACAAGGGGAAGGCATTTTTTTTCTTTCATCCTTTTAACAACCTGTCTCATAGCTGGAGGCCACAGAGATGGAGTTCTTAATATGGAAATTGTAGGAATTTGGCAATCTGACCCCCAATATTTCTTTTAAAAGTGATATGCCTGGATTTTGAGGGCAAACATAGTCATATTGCTGCTGTACAATTCTGTAAGGAAGAACAGAAAATATAGCAGTATATTACTGAATACCAATGATAGCTCAAGGCCAACTTTTTTTTTTTTATCTTTTTAAAGTTTATTTATTTTGAGAGGGGGAGAGAGAGAGAGAGAGAGAGAGAGAGAGAGAGAGAGAGAGCACGAGTGGGGACGCGCAGAGAGAGGGAGAGAGAATCTTAGCAGGCTCCATGCTGTCAGTGCCTGATGCAGGATTCGAACCCGCAAACTGTGAGATCATGACCTGAGCTGAAACCAAGAATTGGAGGCTTAGCCAACTGAGCCACCCAGGTGCCTCTCAAGGCCAAGAATTTTAAAGTATTATCCTCACTTTGTAAATTATTAGGGACCCAACACTTTGCATTTGGCTCCTCTGCCTTACGGAGGAGGATGTTTGGGGAAGGAAAGCCCAGAGAAGGCAGTCAGTTGGGCTGAAATATTTAGCTGGAGATGCTAAGCTGTCCCTGAGGAATGCAAACATCCCCAGCTCTTGCCAGCATTTCTAGTTATGATTAACGCGTGTTGTCAGAACTGGATCCCACCTACTTCGGATTGGGGGGAAGATGAGAGTTTCCCACAATATACATTGATTGGCTCGGTAGCTGGAGAGATCATGAGAATAGCCAGGTAGACAAAAATGTAAAAAAGACTAAATGTAAACCTTGATGAACCCTGAAACATTCAAAAGTAGTTTTATTTTTATTAGAAGCAAAACAAAACCTCTTTTCTGTACTGAATTTCGAGGCACATTTTCTAAATCAAAACCACCTGTGAGGCAGAAGTGACTTTCCCTTCCTCTTCACATTTCCGTGTGACTAAGAAGCACAGGCTGGATTTGGTAGGATGCTTTTTTTTTTTTTTTTATTTTGAAAAATTCAAGTTCTGTAATGTTTTCCAGTTGTATAAAAGTGGGACAAGTTTTTTTTCCCCCATTCTAAGCCCGTTTTCACACACTCCAGGAAAATGTATTAATAGCCAGCTTTATGAGTAAAGACTGCAAGGGATGTAGGCATGTGGCATCAGCAGCCACAGAGCTTGGAGACAGGCAAGGGGCTCTCATGGGGGGAGGGCAGCAGCACTTTTCTGCCTCCCCACAAAGTTCTGAGCTGGATTCAGGGTCTGCCCTCTGCCAGGCACTGCCCTGGTAGAGAAGATCACAAAGGACGCTCAATTTTGTGAGACGCATGTCTCAAACCCCATTATCAAAAAAGTCTTCATGGCTGGAAAAACAAGTCTAGTTCCCATTCTCCATTTTATGCACCAAGATGATTTTGTTCAGAATCAACCAAGTCCATGCCTGCCCCCTAATGTACAAAGAAAATGAACACGTGGACTGAAAGTTTAATTTTCATGCCATGTTTAGTATGGCTGGAAGATACTAAATTTATCACTTCAGAGATGTACACCCTTGAATTAATGCAGAGGTGACTAGAAACAGTTTTATAAACTATGGCTTCCTATTTGTAGGCTGAAACAAATTTAAGATCACCTCGCTGATATAAATTACTTTGAGGGGTTCTATCATACAGTTCTTGTGCCACATGTACCTGGTAACTCCTGTCCCCACAAAACCCCTTCTCAGGGATCCAAACCTCATCCACAGCCCCTGGTAGGTGGGGACGAAATCTGGTGACCCTGCCCCCTGACACTGCTGACCAGCCCAGGGTGGGGTGTGCCTGACCCAAGGGGGACCCATCTCTAGGCTAGGCAGGAGCCTGGGGCAGTGTGGCCAGGCTCAGGAGGAGAAGCTGAGCCAACAGGAGCCTCTCTCAGGAGCTCAGAGTCTTGTACACAGAGAGATCACTGCCAGATGGCTGTGGGCTATAGAGCCAAAAGGTCACTCAGTGCTGGAGTCTGGGTAATTATGATCCAGATACAAGTTCTGAGGAAGCCAGCCGCCAGTTTTGGGGGGTGGAAGTAGAAAGAGAACCAGATGAGAGCTGAAAGGAGGAAAGGGGAAGACTGAGCCAGACAGTTGGTAATAATAGGGACCTAGACATCACCCCTCTAAGCATGACACAGAGAGAGAGCAAGAAAGGGATAGGAGGAGGAAAGGAGATGATAAGATAGAGTGAGAAAAGAAAACAGAGAGACCCAGAAGAGAGAAAACCCGGTCCCACTCCATCCACAGCTGTTCCCTATCCTAAATTTCCCAGATCTTTCTGGATTCTTCCAGTAATAACAGCAGCTGCCCAAACGTTTCCCCACCCCACAGTTTGCTTGAGCTACTCTGGGTGGATTCTTATCATCCAAAAGGAGGCCGGCCGGTCAGGACATCTTGCTGGGCTTTTGTTCAGGGATTGGGCAGGCCAGGCCTCTCTCCTTTAAGCAAAAAGAGACATTTCCTTGTGAAAAGCCAGCTGCTAACTAGTGAAGATAGACCAAAGGCCCATGAACTAGGTCTGGCCAGCGGGTGACAAAGAAGAGTGAATGGCCCACTTGGTTCCTGTCCTGGAGAATCCTCACTGCAGACAGACACTCGCAAGACTGGGATTCCTGGACCGAATGCCTGGGGAGTGAACAATATATAGGATACAACACATGTATCACCATCAATCCCAGAAGAGGTTGGGCCTCCTTGAAACACAACAAGGGGGCAAGCTCAGAAGCATGTGCAGGGGCTAATAATAAAGTCTGTGAAGGCCGGGTCAAATCAGAAAGGAGAAATTACCTTCAGAGAGGTAATTTCAGGAATGAGAACAAAATCAAACAGCTTATCAGAGGAAAACAAATGTTTCCAACAGAACTCTAAGCTTTGAAGCTGACCTGACAGCTAGGTGATTCACCTCAGGCCTCTTGTTGCCGCCTGTCAAGAGTTGCGCAGAAATGTGCTGAGGGTGAATCATGCCATGGGCTCCAGGTAAAGGTGCAGGGGAGCCGCTCACACACACCGCTCACTGCCTACTCTCTCACTCAGTCGGTGCTCATGCTACCGACGCTGCCCTGTGCATTCAGACAGGACAGAAGCTACACTGTGAGATGCGGTGGGGGATCGTGGGGCCTGCTATGCTGAAGAGCATCCCAGAAGGACAGGGCCACTAGTTTCCTGGGAGGTAAGCCAGGGACAATGAGAATACAGAAGGGGGCAGGGCAAATAAAACTCCCCTCTTTCTCTCTTCTGCAGACTATACCAAAGTAGAGTTCTTCCCTGCAAACCTTCCAGGAGCGCAGAGCACCCAGGGACCACGCTGCAATGTCTGTTCAGCAGGAGCCAACATGGCTGTCCGCTCCATCTTGTCACCATGAGCTTCTCCTGGCCTCGCTTCCCTCCTCCTCCACTCCTACAGCCTCTGGCCTTGCACCTCCTTCCCCAGTAAGGAATAATACTTGTATCTGCCTCAGGCCTTTTTTCTAGAGGCCCTGGGCTAAGACCTTAAGCCCCCAACCCTTCAATTTACTGTCCTCAGGGTTAGTTTCCAAAAATGAAGATTTAGTTCCCCTATATGAAGTTTTCAAAGGCTCTTCATGGCAGTGAAAGATCAGCTTCTCAGCTATGCACACAGGCCCTTCACAATGTGGGCTTCTCCAAGCTTTCTAGCTTCATCTCCTGTTATTTCTTTTCCTTTGTGTCAGGTCTACCTACGTTTGGCTCAGTCTTTGCTCCCAAACCTCTTCTGCTCTCCTGCATACATATCACCTGCCACTGCCTCGGCCTGAAACCCCCTTTCTTCTGGCCTCCTTTTCTCTCCTGGACTCCTCCCCATTCATCCTCTGCAAGATGGCAATCCCTGGGCTCACCCAGGTGAAGTTAGCTGCCACCTCCTCTGTGTCTTTAGTACTGTTAAATTAATGAAACAAGGAGGCCATTAGACTGAGGTGGCTCGAATGCCACGGTGGCCTACATAAGCTGAGCTGGCAAATGCCTCAAGGTTATGAAATAAAAACGCCGGAGACAACCAATCACAAACAGCCAACAAGGCTGTAAGCCATAGCCAATGAGATAATTTCCTTTCTCTGCTTCGCACCTCCTCTACGTAAGTCTTTCCCCAGCTACTGTCAGGGAAGTGCTCCTAACTGCTACTTACAGGTTTGGAGCTGCCTGACTTTGATTTTTCTTCCAATAAACTCTTAACCTTTTTAATGTGCCTCAGTTTATCTTTTTAACAGTCACTTCCTGCTTGGCCTCTTTGGGCTGCTTTATCATTGTCTTCCCACCCAACAGGACTGTGAACTTCTCAAGGGCAGACACTGAAGACTCAGTGTGCAGGGGCCTGGCACAGAGCAGGAGCTCAGGAAGCAAGTACTGGCTGTATGAGAACACAGAGAGGACACACCGAGTACAATATTATTAATGGATCTCAGACTTAACTCTGCCACTCGGTCCTGTCCACCTTCCCACCCTGCCTCAGAAGCCAGATTCTTCTTTCTGCAACAAAACCTTCTCCCAGCAAATGAGCTTAAGGTCCATGACTTTACCTAAGGGTGTATTTTAATGAAAAAAAAAATGAGAGGTACAAACCACACAAGCTGTATTTCAGAGACGAGCTGTCTTCCTTATAACCTAGCTCTCTCAGGAGTTTTGAGGTAGAAAGACAGGAGGGAGGAAGAGACGGAGACATTAAATAAAATAAAATAAAATAAAATAAAATAAAATAAAATAAAATAAAA